CCTAGTCGTCGAACTGTCTTTTTTGTTTAGTCATAAATTTTTAATATAAAATAATGCCAACGAATTAATTGTATAAATGCGCGAATGAAATAATTGAAATTTACTGTTAAAATAATTATTAATTTTCTTTGAATTTGACAATAATTAATAACTTAATTGATTGCACCTGGTTACTGAACAAAATTCAGATCAAAGTTCCTAGGTTTGCTTCTCGTGAAAATGATATATTTAAATTACCCACTGTAAGAACTAACGTTATGAAAGCATCTCCTTTATATCATATGATTTTCAACTATCGCAATGTTGAGGACAGGTTAGATATATTTTTTGCACTATTAATGAAATTAAAAAGCGGACTCTTTACTGTTAATTTATAGTTTTAATACTTTATTTTTGTTTTTACTATTTTATTGATTCGTGTGTATCTATATATTTATGTAAGTATGTGTGTGTAGCTATATGTATTAGACTAACAAAAGAGCCAGATAGGACAATTTTCCTAATCATTTTAGGTTCCGTAAGAGTCTATGACTTAAATATTACACCCTAAATGAAAACATTTGAGCACTATGCCGTCAATTCTCCGTGGCACATGGGTTGTCAGCGGAAAATCAAACTTTCCAATTTTGGGCCGGGTAGATTAATTAAATAGAAATTGACGGCATTTCGACCCAAGACAGATATTAGGGAAATAAGACATAAAAACCTTATGCCGTACAAAAATAACGTTCTGGGAAGAAAAAAATAATCATTTTCCAAATATTTTCACTAATGTAAAAATTATAGAAAACTGTACTGATTTTAAATAAAGTTATTTATTTGAAAGATTATTTAAATATTTCTTATAGCATTCGATGAATGTTCCATCAAAAATGTACGGCAATATAATTTTTTATTACCATTTGATGGTGTTAATGTTATGGGGTAAATGCCGTACAGGAATATATAACTTCATAATGTAGTAAAAATGCCTTGGAAAATCCTACTAATTATGGAAAACCCTGAAATTAAAAATAGACGACATCCACAATTTTGTTAATATTAACCCTTGAATAATTTAAAACAGTAATAAAATTTAAAATATATAGTACAGTAATAGCTGTCAAATGGATTTTCCAAATTGAAACAATTTTTTTTATTCACGGCCAATTGTTATTTTCTGGTGCCAGTAATTTTGTACGGCACTTTTGTATGAAGACTATAACTTGGAATAACTTGCTTCCGAAATTTATGCCGCTCAGGAAATAATGTTTTTACCCAAAGAAAAATAGCGTTAACTTCAAAGCACCCACAATTATGTAATAAATTTTTTTTAGCCAAATATTTTGTACGGCACTTATATTTTTCATTATTTTAGAGCATAAATAAAATTCTGAAATCGGTGCCGTACATTTTTCAATAATTTTTTGGAATGTTAATGTTTGGAGTTAATGTCTAAATTTGAGATGAAAAATAAAGGAATATTAAAGTATTTTTTAGGTTTAGAAATAGATTATAGAAAAAATGAAGGGATAATGAGAATAAGTCAAAGAAGAAGTAGAAGTTGCTATGGTAGTTATATAAATAAAAAACAAAAGTTGTTGTAAAATAGAATTGTAAAAGGAAGAGAATAAATGCTATTGTGAATTAGAAAAGGCCTTTATTACAATATAACATAACAGACCTCGTATCTTACGAGTACTTACCCACTTCCAACGTTGCCAATAAAATCTTCAGATTTATTTTGTGGCTTTAAAATCCACAAATTCGAGTCTTTATTGTTGCCGTTTCCGCCGTTAATAACTGTTTCTGCTTCCTCCAAGATCTCTCCTGCTTGATTATTCTTATCTACTGGTATATTTGCTATATGTCCCATATGTTCGATAAACAACCATTTGTCATTTTCATTACTTGAATTATCGGAGAAACACAAATATTTGTTACCGACTTGTGCCTCAAATATTCTAGGGTTCTCGATTTCAATCCGAGTAGCACGGCGGGTATTAAATTTCCATATGTCGTAAATTTTACCATTTAGCGGACAGCCTATATTTTCACTGAAAAATAAGTATGTAAACTGAACAGATGTATTGAATAAATTGATTTTGTGAAGCAATAGCGATAATGAAATTGATTTTTAATATGACATAAATGAAAGCAGCTTACCCACTTGCAACGTTGGTAATGAAGTATCCAAATTTGTCTCGCGGCGTTATCGTCCACAATTGTTCGTCTCTATTTTGCCACTTCTCCAGTGTATAGATACCGCGTACTACTTGCCATACCATTCCGGTTTTCTCATTTTGTATTATGTATCTCATATTTAGTTTCTTAGACTGTTCGATAAACAACCATTTGTCATTTTTATTATTTGAATTTTCGAAGAAACACAAATATTTGTTACCGACTTGTGCCTCAAAGATTCTAGGGTTCTCAATTTCAATCCGAGTAGCACTGTGGGTATTAAACTTCCATATGTCGTAAATTTTACCATTTAGTGGACAGCCTATATTTTCACTGAAAAATAAGTATTTAGAGTGAATTGCAGGTAACGAATTTACCATAAATTGATTTTGTGAAGCATTAGCGATAATGAAATTGATTTTTAAAAGGACAATAAATGAAAGTAGCTTACCCAGTTGCAACGTTGGTAATGGAGTATCCAGATTTGTTTCGTGGTGTTATCGTCCACAATTGTTCGTCTCTATTTTGCCACTTCTCCAGTGTATATATACCGCGTACTACTTGCCATACCATTCCGGTTTTTTCATTTTCTATTATGTATCTCATATTTAGTTTCTTAGAGTGCTCGATAAACAACCATTTGTCATTTTTATTACTTGAATTATCGGAGAAACACAAATATTGGTCACCGACTTGTGCCTCAAATATTCTAGGGTGCTCGATTTCAATCCGAGTAACGCTGTGGGTATTAAACTTCCATATGTCGTAAGTTTTACCATTTAGTGGACAGCCTACATTTTCACTGAAAAATAAGTATGTAAACTGAACAGATGTATTGAATAAATTGATTTTGTGAAGCAATAGCGATAATGAAATTGATTTTTAAAAGGACAATAAATGAAAGTAGCTTACCCAGTTGCAACGTTGGTAATGGAGTATCCAGATTTGTTTCGTGGTGTTATCGTCCACAATTGTTCGTCTCTATTTTGCCACTTCTCCAGTGTATAGATACCGCGTACTACTTGCCATACCATTCCGGTTTTTTCATTTTCTATTATGTATCTCATATTTAGTTTCTTAGAGTGTTCGATAAACAACCATTTGTCATTTTTATTACTTGAATTATCGGAGAAACACAAATATTGGTCACCGACTTGTGCCTCAAATATTCTAGGGTGCTCGATTTCAATCCGAGTAACGCTGTGGGTATTAAACTTCCATATGTCGTAAGTTTTACCATTTAGTGGACAGCCTACATTTTCACTGAAAAATAAGTATGTAAACTGAACAGATGTATTGAATAAATTGATTTTGTGAAGCAATAGCGATAATGAAATTGATTTTTAAAAGGACAATGAATGAAAGTAGCTTACCCAGTTGCAACGTTGGTAATGGAGTATCCAGATTTGTTTCGTGGTGTTATCGTCCACAATTGTTCGTCTCTATTTTGCCACTTCTCCATTGTATAGATACCGCGTGCTACTTGCCAAACCATTCCAGTTTTTTCATTTTCAATTACAAACTTCTCTACGTGACCTTCAAATAAAATCCCTCTAGGTATATACAGGTTGTCACAAATTCGCTTCTCACTACAGGGATCTCGGAAACTCTAAGAGATACGAAGTAACTTAAATGGGGAGAAAGTTGCATAATCAGGGGACCAACGTAATACCTCTAAAACATCAAGGCTAACATGATTAGTTTTCGAAATATTTGAAAAAGAAATGAAATTTTGTAAATCCGTTTTTGTTTCATTTCAGCCTTGTTTGAGGTGATATTGAAAAAAGAAGAATACTATCTCATGGCAACTTTTTGCTCTCTATCGAAGGGCATAATTAAGTTTTATATGTAACGTTTCGTGTCTCCAGGACCATCACCAACTTAATTTTTTTAAATACGACCCTGGAAATTTTGTTACATTTTTTGCAAGCGTTCATCACCCCCAATACTGTACTGCCTCAGCCCGAACTAGTCTCGAAAAATTCATCTTCAATGTATTCGTTTCAAATTTATCCGATTTTTTTTTAGATTTCTGTTTATTGAATTAGCGTACACTTGAAGCGTAAATATATTTTTATTTGGTTCCCTATTATTTTATGGAGTGTCATTTTTGATATTTACCACTGAGCAAAATACAAACTGACTATACTTTGGTTTTTCTTTTTTTGTGAATCATCATATTGTAGAGGAAAGTAGTATAAATCATATACCACGTTTTAGGTTTTTTGGAATATTCAGAATTTATAATGTTTTCGATAAATTATGTACATAGTTGTAAAATTAAAATGACTGTAAAATCCTTGCAGGAGATCAGAGCTGGGAGTATTTTGACAAAAAAAATACCAATAATATTTTAAATATAAAATAGTATTTTGTAATTAAAATACTTTTGTTATAACCCCAAAAAATATTTTGTATTTCAAATACTTTAAAAAAGTAGCATCTAACATGTATTTTAAAAAAGTATAATTCCGGTCTGATACGTCCAGTAGTTAATTAACAATTAACGTTATAAAAAAGCTATTTTGGGAATAAAGACGCGTAGGTGATCTTTTTTTTAAACTACCGTAATAGACCATTTCATGCATAATAGGCCCATTCAGTGATATATAATTTTAAACTTTTTCTTTCATTTTCTGATAGTATTTAACCACCTAAATATATCTTTAAAAAAATGGGTCAATAGGATTAATAATAAGTGATATATTTAATTTTGATGAAATTTGGTGTGATAATTCTACATAAAATGAAGTTTTTTTTAGCCAAGTATAAAGGTCCTATACCCAATTTAAATACCCCAAAAAAATTTATATATTTATTTATTTAAATACCCCATTTTTGCGATTTTTTCGATTTTTACCATAATAAACATGATTCATTCGATTTGTAATTGGACATGTTATGTAAAAAATTTAATTGCAAACATTTTTTTCCTTTTCCATTTTCGCCTAAAACCAACTCTTGAAAAGATACATAATTAAATAGGAAGAAAAATATGACATTTTTCGAATTTTTTTAACATATTGTGCCGCCAAAAGTTAAGCCCACGTTTTTTTTATGCGCTGCCGTGTTATTTTTTCTTTTGATTATCAAAATAGGTATTGGGGTTGTTTTATTCTTTATTTATTTTACATTTATTTTTAATCACAAGAAAATCACACATAACGGCAGCTTTTCGTCGTGAGAGCGGGTCGTAGGTTAGGAAGCAGCTAGCTAAAATTGTATATACAGTATGGTGTTAAATTAGGGCGCCACGTAACTTATGAGTGTAAGTTATCTAGCTGTATTCTGCAAAGTTACGAAAGTCAGAACACTTCATAAAGTTAGG